TCTCCTCCTCACTGGTCCAAGGCTCAGGCGCCTCCTGGGGGCCAACCAGCCTCTTTGCGCCCTGCTTGGAGTCGGAACCCTGTCCCCATCCTCCAGAGCCAACTCATAGGACCCCTTGCTGTTGGAGTCTGGTGGCAGCCCCAACGGTTCCTGCTGGGCCACAACACTACTCCTAATGAAAAACAGCATTTCCAAGCTTCAGCCCCTTGTACTATGAATTACTAGGAAGCTAACAACAGTTTATTTAGGAAGTTGAATGAATCATATGGCTATTTCTGGTTGGAAGAGGTGATCCTGAAGGTACCTATCAGTTAGCTTAGCTGACAGTTTTGGTTTGTGCCACAATTACTATATAAGATAATTCCACATACTCCAGGGCAAATATTCCATATTGTTTGTAATTTCTGTGAGAAGTTTATCCAATGCTGTCTCTGCAATAAACTGCAATGAGCCCCAGCTAGTCATAATGGTTTGGAACTTGGGAGTTGGCAATTGCAGCAGTGCTACTGGAAGAGGACAAGAGGTAAGAGGCATCATCAGTGATCTAGGGCACAATGGGGAAATTGCTTAATCTGCTAAACAAAGATTACAGAAGTTTAATTAACTATGCAAAACTATGCAAAATGAATGTTGGAAAACAAAATAAAAATTATCTAATTTCACAGTTGGGCATTTTGAACAAACTTGATTCAAGATAAAAATAAACAACCATCATTTATACTTATGTGTCTCTCTGTGTGTGTATGTATATATGTTCTGAAAAATGTTAAGGGACATACTTACATATTCATTCACACATTCATTCAATTTTAGCAGTTACATTCAATTGATTTTGTCAAGTATAACTAATAGTTTGCAACATTAGAAACCTATCAGATAAATTCCAGAATCAAGTTCACACAGAGAACTGGTTGAAGAAATTTCGGAGAGATAAAACCTATTTAATCATTGTTTCAATTACACTTTTTATTCTGTGCATGTGAACAATGTAAAAATCTCATTGGCATCATAATCTTATCTGCAGCCCTGCTATCTTGTCAAACAGAAAATATCTTCATTTTTAGCTGATTTTACAGACCATAGTATATAGACCAAAAGAGAAAAATCACAAGGTATAAAAAGATTTTATAGGGAATAAAAAGATTTTCACAAAAGCCAAATAAGTTTAATAGTAACAAAATTGTTATATAATTAAGTTAAAATAATTTCTTTTTAGTATATAATATGCTTTACTTATTGTATTTTATTTTTTGTATTGATGTTTATTGTATTGGTCTCCCAACATCATTTTATGAGAGGAGCAATCATATAAATTGAGTTAAATAAATGAATGTATTTACATTTTTGCTTATAATTACATAATTAAAAAGGAGTACTAATTCAACAGTATTAATAAGCATACACTATGTTACACTATGTTACACTATGTTAATAAAAATATTAATTTTAGAATCGTATGTAAAATACTAATAGAGTAATCTATTATTCATCTACTCCAAAGGAAGTTCCACTGAGATCACAAGGTTCATTCTCAATCATGTAAGCATCAGATTATAGTCTAGTACAAATTTAAGCCCTACTGGGAATTACAAACATTTTCTTTGGACGATTGTTGGATCAATAGGGCTTAATCCTTTCCTCCTTCACTAAATATTTGCTCTTATATATTAATTCTTGGAACTGTTTGAGCATCATCAGAAGATTCTGGAGGCTCAAGATAACTGCTGAAATTATAATAAGTGTATAAATAGTGCTTTCTGCTTGAGCAGGGGGTTGGACTAGAAGACCTCCAAGGTCTCTTTCAACTCTGTTATCTTTTTATTTTGGTTTTGAGTCTATTTGTGGATTGTAATAAGATTTCAAAAAAGGTACTGGAAGGTTTTATCAGAAATATGAAAATACCTTTAAATTTACATACTGGAAATAAAGTGAAAATGAATTTTGTATCAAGACTTTTACATTTTAAAGTGACATTTCATAAAGTATGGTCACCCCTCGGGGAGCTGCAAAATCAAAATTATTTGCCAAATATTTGATATACATGCAAACATTTCAAATAATGTCCCTTTTCTCATTATAATAAGAGTAACATACCAGTATATTGATATTTACTTCATATGTGCTACTACAAAGTACTGAACCTTTTTATTTATATTTTATTTATTATATCTCAAAAAAACCCTCTCCTTCATAAAATAAAATTATTTGTAGCAAAACCACTACATGTTTTATGGGTCAGCTATGTATGCTGAGTTTCTTGCATTGTCATAACAACAAACCTTTTTTCTTTAAAGCTGTCTCTCTGTGATGCAAGTAAAGTTACCATAAAAGTTTCCAGAATAGATCATTTCAGGAAATTATCTGCCATTTGACTGCTTTTGTTTTGGACTGTAGATTGAAAGATGGGTTTGGTTGGTCTGAGATAAACCGTAAAGGTATATTTTATAAGCCTAGTCCGTTATTTCTACTTTCTTTGCTCAAAAGAATACTTTTCAATGTTAATTTATACAAGTTATGCGAAGGACAAACATGTTGAAATAACAAAAAGGTTATAAAAATAAAATGATCGGAGCTAAACTTTATTTTTCAGTTTGGATTAACACTATTACTCATTATTTCAGTGATACCTTGGCTTAATGAATATCAGATACAATGAATATTATTATACAGACTTCACCCACTATCTATGGACTATGATTTGTCTTCTGTATCAAGGTTTTTACTGTATTATGATGATGGTTCTAATATGCAATAGTGGCTAAGGTGTTGATTCAAATATGTTCAGAAGTTTAGACAATTTAGAATTATAAAAATTTATGATTACTACACGGTACTTGTGCAAAAAGCTGAGAAATGGAAGAAATAGAAACCACCAATGACAGTTTCAAATGAGATTGATAGAATATATTATTCTTTTATTACTCGAATAAAATTGGCTTTTAAATTATTTCCGAAGCCAGTTCAACATGATAATTGCTTTTACATTGTTGAACAGTATAAACTCATAGTATGTTTCAAAAGATTATTTCATCTCAAGTTCTCTGGAAAGATGCTGCATATCATTTAATCATCAAACAACATATATGGAAAACAGTTATTTGTTCTTATAAACTGTCTAGATTTCAACTCCCAGAATCCTCCAACCAGTATGTTTAGCTGCTAATTTTGGAAGTTGAAGTCCATATATCTTAAAGTTGCCAAGGTTGAGAAAGACTGCAATAGAGCCTTTCCAATCATAGAACCTTCTGATATTATGATTCATAATGATATTGTATTCTTTTACTGTGTAAAATTTTTACTCTGTTCTTATGATTTTGTTACATTTCATTATGAGGTTCCTATAAATCCTATTAGCAGTTTTGCAAATTTCTTTATGCCTATTGGAAGTATAGTGTCTGTATCTTAACAAAGTATGAAAATTAGTTAAGTTATACTGGGGATAAATAATACTGTGAAACAAACCAATTAACATAATATTTATTTTAATCCACTTTATATGATTTTGTGACCTCCAATAACTTTGTGCTTGAGAAATACATTATATTGTTAAAAGAACAGTAATTACCTGACTCCTGGAGGTAACGATAAACCAAGAAATTCACTTCATCGCTGGTTATGCTCATCTTAGCCCCACCTCAATACAATGAGGCTTGCAAGAAGTGTGATCCACGCTCTGTTCAAAGAGGAATAATCAGAAATATATCTTTTGATTGCAATTATTTAATTTTGACTATAATTTAGACTTTTACATTTCTTAATAGTAAATAGGTAGGTATGCTGTTATTCTGAGTTGCAGCTGCATTTAAATGAAATAAACATGGGTTCAAATAATTATTTAATTTACTGAAAGATTTAATTGTTGGGTAAAATAAGTGTAGCAACAGTAAGTTGACAGTTTTGAATGAGATTTTTATCATTTATTTTGAAGCTATTTACAATTTACATGGTTGTCCTTGTAAAAAGAATCTACGTACCAGAAAAGAACCAAATGTTGCAACATAACAGCCAATTTAAAATAAGTCATCTAGAAAACATGGCTGGTGATTCCACACCTTATTATTTGTTAAAAAAATTACATTACAAATAAAATATACAGTAATTTTTAACTATGACTATGAATCAAAAGAATATCAAATGGCCTTTAAAATAAAGTACATATTCCAACTGTTCCAATGTCTATGTTGCACTTTGACCACTCTCATCATAAGTTACACAATAATGTTAGAACTGATTCTTTACAAATTCTATACATACATACATACATATATACATGTGACATGCGGTGAGGTTTATGGCTGGTG